CGCTATGAAAAAATGTGACTTAGAAAGCTTCTTTCTCATCTATCAGGCTCAAGGTTTAGTTAACTTTCTTCCCTTTAAAACACACACACACACACACACACACACACACACACACACACACACACACACACCTTTCTTCCCTTTCTGATTAACTGAAAGTAGCACCTACCCCCCACAAAATAATGGCGCTATGAAAAAATGTGACTTAGAAAGCTTCTTTCTCATCTATCAGGCTCAAGGTTTAGTTAACTTTCTTCCCTTTAAAACACACACACACACACACACACACACACACACACACACACCTTTCTTCCCTTTCTGATTAACTGAAAGTAGCACCTACCCCCCACAAAATAATGGCAATTTCCTCTGCAGAAAGTCTTTGAATGGGAATTTAAAGTTCAACTGAATTTTCAACAAAAGTTCTTCCAAATCAACAGTCACAAAGGTAGTTTTACCCCCTCCCCCGCAATTTCTTCTAAGTGAAATTTTTAGAAGTTAGTGCCTTCTCTAGGAAGCCTACAGCTTCATCTAGATGTTCTGTTTAACAGCCTTATTCTATTGACCTTTTCAAGTGACCTTACAATAGACGACTTTTTTTCCCCCTTGCTTTGGAGACAAACAAAAAGAGATGAACCTTTCCGGAATCCTAAAAGACTCTCAACTTCCTTAGGCCTTAAGAATTAAATGCAGGACCTCCCCACAGGCTGAGCAATTGCTAAATCCCTCTTTTTAAACAGGAAACAGAGTTTGCTTCTGAGTGGCAATGTATTCCCCCGCCCCGCACTCACTCCAGGGCAGGCACTGCCATGCCCAGGTGGTGACACTGAGCAGAGATAAGGTGTCCTAACAACTGTATTTGTCTGGACTCCGGGAAACCCGCGGCCACTCGGTGACTCCCACATCACTGGCGCGCATCCCCCCGCGGCTGTACGGGGGCCCTCGACGCCGCAGACCTGAGCAGCCCAAAGACCCCTCCCACGGCGACACGGGGTAAGACTGACACCCGCAGCTGCCGAAGACCCTGCCAATCACGCTGCCGCCGGCTGCCTTTTTTAGCCACAACATCTGACCAGGCTTAGACAGCATTCAGGGAGAGGTCCCAGGGCGCGTCGGGCAGTCCCCTCCCATTCCTAACCCCCCAGACCCTTGGAGAGCTCCGGATGAGGGGTGGGGAAGGTACTAGCCCTGGAAAGGGCCGGAGAGCGTACGTTCCTCCTGCCCTTAAGCTTCCTCTCTGCTCTCTCCACGGATCCGGGTCCCCCCTCCCCCGCCTGCACCCGGGATCCCCCATTTTGCAGCCCGTGGTCGCTTCTCGGACGCCCCTCCCCACCCCCACCTCTCAACTCCGTTCTCCTGGATCCCCTCCAAGTCGATGGCCCGCGCGCCTGGTCGGGCGGGGGGGCGGGAAGACACACAGGGAAGGGATGGGGTGCAGCCTGAGGACGCGCGGGGCGTGGGGCCGGGCGAGGGACCCCGCGCTCACCTCCCTCCTCCGCCCCGCTGTCCGGGTCGGCGTCCGAGGAGTCGGGCCCGTCCCCGTAGTCCGCTAGCCCCACCAGTTCATCCTCCTCGTCGTCGTCCTCGTCCTCCGGCTGCGGCTTCCCCAGCACCTGGCTCATCGCTCCCACAGCCGGCCGTCCTGGGGGCGGCGGGGGTCCCTGGTGGGGGCCAAACCTCCTCCCCTGCCGCTCGCAGCCTATTTCTGAATTGGGGTTTTGTCTGGAGGTTCACGGGAGCCCGCGGAGGCAGGGCCGCGCGCCCCCCCGCGGCGGTCGGCGTCCAGGTCTGGGTCTCGCAGTTCCCACCGCTCCCGGAGCCCCCTTCCCCGCCCCGCCCGCCTGCCAGCGGAGGAGTCAGCCGGAGCGCGGCAGTTCCTCCCCGAGGAGGGAGAGAGAGACTGCGTGACCCAAGTCACCTGACACACACTGTCACACACACACACACACACACACACACACACACACACACGGGCGCGCGCCCGCGCTTTCCCGGGCTCCAGCACCGCTCGGCGGGGCGCTGGCCCGAGGCCGCGCACACACACTGGGGGAGGGGGAGCAAGGGGGGGGCGGCTGGGCGGCGCGGAGCCCTCCACCTAACCAGAAGCTCACAGTGGCACACGCCCGGTACCGCGGGCTCTGGGACGCTGCGCAGTCACCCACCGCGGCTGCGCGCCAGGGGCCCCCACGCGCGCCTCCTGCACGTGGTACCCGCACAGGCCGGCGAGCTGGGGGCCTGCACAACCTGAGAACGTATCCCCCACCCACCTCCAACACACACACCCTACCTTGGAGGCCTTCTCTGGCTTTCAGTCCTGGAGTGGGCTGCGTTCCCCCCTCCCCACCACTGTTGCGCCCGGGCCCCCACCCAGAGCCTTGTGCCGAGGACACCGCATGGGTACTGAAGCTCCCCGAGAAGAAAACTCGGAGAAATTTACTGCAGAGGCTCAGTCTCCATAGCAATTGCCTTTCAGTGTGCGTTTATGGTTCAAAGTGCTTCCCACCAAGAATATTAAAGAATCAGGCCTATCCAGATGTAAAATGTTTCTTAAAAAACCTAACATGCCTCATGGCTGCCTAGGCTGCTCTGCAGCCTTTTGGAAAAGGTCGCAGGAGTACAACATACTCACAGGCTATTCATGACCACCTACTCCTGTCTCATTGTTTCAGAGGCTGTAATCCCCCATCTCAAAATAAAATGTTTCAAGGCTTGGGGGTGGGGGGAGCAACTCTCACATAGGAACAGCAACAATGTGTGGGTGAAACTAAAACCTGCATTTCTCCACAAGCTCTTTACCGCCGGACATACTATACCCACCCTTTCTGATCCTGCAAATACCACGTGAATGAACTTCCTTATGTCAAGCACAATAAGAAATAAACCAGCTGGCCAGCATGGTGATCCAGATCCTACAGGTGCCAACAGGACAGCAGGTGGTGTGGAGGAGGAGGCAGAGAGCTGAGACTGGAGGCTCTTGGGGCCCAAGGGTGCTGACTCTGTCTGAAACATTTATTGAGCACCTACTATATGCCAGGGGCTGGACTAAGTGTGGGTCTGTCGGGGGGAGGGGGCGGAAAGTGTCCACCTATACTCAGAATAGTATTCCTGCTCTGGAGGACCTTTCAGCCTAGCAAACCATGACTCATGTCCTGGAATTTGTATTAGTTGTGGTGTTGAAGGTGGATGTAGACACCTAGGAGGTGGCTGCTTCTAATTGGAAAGGTCTTCAGATTTTCCCAGGTGAGGAAGCTTAACTTGATATGACTGCATCAGTCAAGGTCCTTTCCAGGAGGAAAACAGATGGCATGGGCAAAGATTTTAACTTACAGAAAGCTTTAAGTTAAAGAACAATTTACAGGGGCGCCTGGGTGGCTCAGTGGGTTAAAGCCTCTGCCTTCGGCTCAGGTCATGATCCCAGGATCCTCGGATCAAGCCCGGTGTCGGGCTCTCTACTTGGTGGGGAACCTGCTTCCTCCTCTCTCTCTCTCTCTGCCTGCCACTCTGCCTACTTGTGATGTCCGTCTGTCAAATAGGTAAATAAAATCTTAAAAAAAAAAAAAAAGGAACAATTTACAGGGGCACGGGCAGGATTCAGGGAATCAAAATAGGGATTAGCAACAGTGGGAAGATACTATCACCCCTAAAGTAGTAGGACTAAAGAAAGGGAGCTTGAGTACTGGGCAGGGGGCACAAAACAGGAGCTGTAGCTGATGAGGAAGCAGTCACTTACAGAAGCACCTCACTGTCAAGGAGACAGCAATAGAAAGAGATACCCTGACCTCTCTCTCGCCAACCACCCTCCATTCTCCTGGAATTGCCTCCCAATGGCCAAACCCAGCTGGAAATCAGAGGGCGAGCGAGTCTAGAACCTAGTCCAGAACACAGAGATCCGGTGGGCAGATTGCAGGTCCCAGGCTGGGGCTGGAGTGGAGGGGCACACGGCACAGCAAACACAAGAAGGCTCTACTTGCTCTTATCAGCGGAAGTTACACTAGGGATAATTTTCCTAGTGCCTTTCATCCATTTTATAAAAGGAAGTTCCCAGGGGGAAGGAAGAAGTCCTCTCCCAGATTGGATTTAGACTTCCAACTATCCCAGAACAAACCCACCAGCTCGGGAAGGACACTGAACTGGCTTGATTCAAACTCCAGAGGACTGCTCATGAGGCCCTAGAAGCCGGTCTGAAGTCGGGCTAGCCAGTCAGGGCATTCCTGGGCTGGTTGCCAGGCGTGTCTGTCCCAGGGACCCAAGGGTTCAAGATAGGACAATTCTTAAGCCAAAAACCCCACTGTGCCTGAGACCCTGAAAGGATGGAGATATTTGATAATCTCTGCCATCCCCCAAAAGACAACTTTTAAAGGGAACATCAGCAGTAAATTGGAGCACACCCTAAAATATTTGAGAATTGGGCCATTCTTGAGAAAAAAGGAACAAATCCATAAAAAAATCAATAAAAGCCAAATCCTTGATTATGCTCTATCCCAAGGTAGATGAGAGTCATAGACAGGTTTAAGAGATTCTAATTCATTGTCATTTACAAATGTACAGTATTTTTTTAAAGATTTTAGTTATTTACTTGAGAGAGAGATCACAAGTGGGCAGAGAGGCGGGGGGTGGAGAGTGGGGGTGGAAGCAGGTTCCCCACTGAGCAGGCAGCCAGATGCTGGGCTTGATCCCAGAACCCTGAGACCATGACCTGAGCGGAAGGCTAACCCACTTGAGCCATCCAGGTGCCCCAACAAATGTACGGTAATAAAGTTTGAACAAACAGAACAAGAAAAAATTGTATTGCTTTTCTTTTGCTGTTATTCCAATTCTGTCAGCTTTCAAATAAAGGATATATTGAAAAAAATTGAAAGAAGTTTTTTTTTTAATTTAAAAATTCATGTATGTAGATTCTTTCAGAATTTAAATAAAAATGGAAAGACTTTGGGGTGCCTCTGGCTCAGTTGGTGAAGCTTGTGACTCTTGATCTCAGGGTCCTAAGTTCAACTCCCTGCTGAGCACAGAACCTATTTTTTTTTTTTTTTTAGATTTTTATTTATGTATTTGACAGAGGGAGACACAGTGAGAGAGGGAACACAAGCAGCGGGAGTGGGAGAGGGAGAAACAGGCTTCCTGCTGAGCAAGGAGCCGGATGCGGGGCTCCATCCCAGGACTCTGGGATCAGGACCCAAGCCAAAGGCAGACACTTAATGACTGAGGCACCCAGGTGCCCCAACATAGAGCCTACTTTTAAAAAATAAAAATAAATAATAATAATTTTAAAAAGGAATATGAGGGGTGCCTGGGTGCCTCAACTGGTGGAACAGCTAGCTCTTGATTTTGGCTTCAGTCATGATCTCAGGGTCCTGGATAGAGATCTGCATCAGGCTTCGCTCTTCGCAGGGAGGTACTTGAAGGTTCTCTCCCTCTCTGTCTGCCCCTCCCCCTGCTCACAAGTGCAAGGTCTCTCTCAAAGAAATAAATCTTTAGGAAGGAAGGGAAGGAGGAAGGAAGAATGGATATGCCTCTGAGCAACCCATGGTTTTTGTTGTTGGATGTAACCTCTGCAAATTGCCATATACATGATAGGTACTTAATAAATGTCTATGGAATGAGTGAAAGGGAAAAAAAGGATGGTAGAGGCCAGGTCTCCGCACAGACTCGTCATATTTCTGAGAGAAACTTCAGGAAGTCAAGTTTTCTACTCACTCTAAACCCTGGGAAATGCCACAATGAAGTAAGTATGAATGAATGAATGAATGAAGTGAGCTAGTAGAGTGTAATCAAGAATGAGCTGACATATGAGAAATGATCACTCTTAGGCCTTCCTCCCTTCAGGACTGCCTAAAGCTTTGAAGGAATTACAATATAATGCCTATTAAATGCCCCTTTAATTTTTATTAACCCTTCCTTCTAAAAAAAACCACTCTAACTCTTTTTCCCATTTAAAAAAATGTTATTGGGGGCACCTGGGTGTCTCAGTCGGTTAAACATCTGCCTTTGGCTCAGGTCATTGATCCCAGGATCCTGGGATCGAGCCCCATATCATGCTTCCTGCTCAGAGAAGATTCTGTTTCTTCCTCTTCCGCTTTCCCGCTTTTACTCTCTGTTAAATGGATTAAAAAAATCTTTAAGAAAAATTAAAAAATTTTATTGACTTTATTTTTATTTTAGTATAGTTGACAAAAACTCTTAATTCTGAGAGGTATTTTGTAGCATCAAGAAAGATGAGCTTTGTCTATTGCCTACTAAAATTTAACCAAATAACATTTAGTGAGGTTTTCCATAAATAAGGCACTGTTCCAAAATAATGCGAACTTCAAAATAATCTCATTAAATAAGTAATATGATTGTCCTTACTTTACAAGTGGGAACACTGAGATTAAACCATTTGCCCAAGGTACCACATGCAGTGGACCTGCAGTGGACCATGGCACTACTTTGGAACTCAGTTAGACATTAGATCTTGTTCCTATTTAGTGGCTACAGGAAATTATATTATAGCCTTAGACAGAAAAGGGGGGCAGAAAGTGAAGAGCTGGCTCCCAGTCTCCTAGATAAAGAATCAAAACACACATATACACTCAAAAATGGGTCTATTGCCCCAAGCCATTTAATTTACAGGATTCGGAGCGCCTGGGTGGCTCAGTCATTAAGCGGCTGCCTTTGGCTCAGATAATGATCCCAGGGTCTTGAGATCAAGCCCGGCATTGGGCTCCCTGCTCAGCAGGACCCCTGCTTCTCCCTCTCCCTCCGCTTCTCCCCCTGCTTCTGTTCCCTCTCTCGTTGTCTCTCTCTCTCTGTCAAATAAATAAATAAAATCTTAAAATAAATAAAGTAAAATTTGAATTTTAAAGTCCAGAAGTTTGT